GTTGCAACAGGAGAAATTCAACATCAGTGGCCTATAGGCCACTTTTAATGACCGGCCAGCCACTACTTCTGGGTTGCCGACCACTTTTTCCAACAAGGCAATATACTATTTCCTGCAGACAGAGCAGAAACTGAGGTGAAAAATTAGTGCAATCTCTTGACTGTGCAACAGAAGCATTCCAGTAAAAAAACGAAGAGCATTTTTAGGTGGAAATCCACATCCATACATGAACCATCCCTCGATCATTCGGACCCTCCTTTGCAATGTTGTAATGTTGTAATAAGCGTGTTTGTGTGTGCATGTCTTCCAACCCCACATCTTTCTCCCTTTTATTTAACCGCTTTCAATGGTTAGTTTAGGGACATTTTCAATTAGCATACCTTATGCTCGCATGTTTGCATCCATTCATTTGTCTTGCATGCACCGAGGCTCGGTGCATCATTCAAACTACATTGCAATTTCAATATCTTCTTTAAATACGTGTTTATCGCATGTTGTTCAAATTGATTCATATGCCATATTAGTAGTTGAGCCTATTAATCACATTATCGCATGTGTTGCATTAGACAACATGTATAGTTAGGATCATGCATTTTTCTGACTAGTTTCTGTTTTGGCTCGAAGTACTCGGTGAGTTTTATGCTTTAGCATACTTGCATGAGTGTGATTTCAATGTTGCCATGTTTCGCATGCTTGCCATGAGGCTATGTGCTTACATGCTAAACTGCATGAATGCCTGTGGATGAAGGCTTGTTGTTTGAATTGGAATGATTCAACAAATGTGCGTTTTAAGCCCACTTTGTTGAGTGGCAAATCATGTTTTAAGCCCACTTATGTTTGGTGGCAAATCCGCATCTTTAAGCTCACTTGAGGTGGCAAATTTAAACCATTTTCGAAAACAAACACGAGTTGAATTGTTCCACATTGAGCAAATTATTCTATACTTGATTGTGCACATCACATAGTAAAGCTAGTTTAATAACTGGAATAAGAACACAATGTTTATAAAATATCATATCATGATTAGTAGAGGCCAATCTTTGATCGGGCGAGCGGGGGTGCTCATTTCAGGACCTTCCCCTCTCGTACCCAAGTTCCCGAGCCGAGAGAACTTTGGTGATGACGGACACGTGGCCTTCGGCACGAGTCAGGGTTTCCTAAATTTTTTCAAAATAAAATATTTAGGTGGCGACTCTGTATCTTGCAAAGCAGTCCAATTTTGGCATTATTTGATTTAAAATCGATTTTCCAAAAGGTTTGTCAGATTTGGACTCTTTGGTAATTATCAGTTTCACATTGCACTTGTGAGACTAGATTTAGAACCGCGGGAGTTCGAACTTTGAGGCCTTCTTTTCAAACCCTTTTCGAAAGGCGGAGCGCGGAGAAAGGCGAGTCCACAACAGGAAGTAAAAATTAAATATAATTATAAAAAATGAAATATTAAAAAAGAATAGAGTTTCCATAAGGAAGTGATGGACGATAAAATTGATATACTGTCTTAAAACAAATCTGAGATGCATGAAATAATATGGAAACTAGCTAAAATATTCATTGTAAACTACGTAAAGGTAAACTAAGCAAATGGCCATAAGCTTAGCTTCCTCAAGAATATCCGACAATTATTGCAATCGCCAAATATACTTCTCATGTTATGTGCCATTCTAAGCTCCCATGTTTACTAGATTACCGTAGCTTGTCTCTTATCAATTCGTGTACCTAATTTGCACATTTATGCAATAAAGAAAAATTGTGCTAGCCCAACATGGAATGTATTCTGAAAATATTTTCCATCCCTGTTATCATTTTCTTCATTGTTTTGTATTTGGCCAAGTATAAATATACATAGTTATCCTTTGCTGGTTTCTTGTTTGGGAAATTATTGCCCTTATTTGTGGTTTGGTTATAAATCTCTATCTATCAAGTTTCATTATGAATTTGAGATTACAATGAGTTGGTTATTTCTCTCACCAACTATCTCACTAAATCTTACAATATTATAATAATCTTAGAATCTCAAAATAATCTTCTATATATAAGATTTAAAAGTAGTAAACCAAGTCAACAATGACCTTTTTAGTAATGAGTATATGTTTGGTTATTTACGTTGAAGACATCATAAATAAATGGAGATATTTTGTCTCCACACTGCTCATGTCTTGTATCATTCGTTTCATAAATTTTGTCAAATATAGTGCAAAAGTCTCATCAAACACTTGAAAGCCAATATAAGGAGATTGATGCTCCATTATTAAAACAAAAATGATATTAAAAGCAAAATTGATGAAAAAATGTTATTTTTATAATTATAAACTAAATTGATAGACATTTTAATTTTTATTAAATCTATATAATAAGGCAAGAGGTTTTTTGAAAATGTATAAAAATGTCTTAGAGATACATTTAATCTAGACGGCTGAGATCAATCTTCAGTATATATCAACGGCTCTGAATTATTTATTTCCCGCCCAAACACTTCTCTTCTTAACCTTCACACCTACCCACATCTCTCTCTCCCCTCTGCTCTCACGCACGTCTCTTCCTTCCTTCTTTATCTCTCTCCCTCTCTCCCTCTCTGTTTATTCTTCAACAGAACCCTCTCGACCACCGCCATCGCGACCACCTCTCTTCCCTCGCAGGACCCTCTCTGTTTCTCCTTCTTCAACAGATCCCTCGACCACCGCCATCACGACAGCCTCTTCCTCATCCCCCTTTATCACTTCAGTCCTCTCCTCCTCGCAACAGATCTCGCCGAAACCCTCTTTGCCTCTTTGCAAGGTACGATTAAGTACAGAAAATTACAGAAAACGGGTTTGTTTGTAAGTACAGAAAATTCAATCATGTTGATGAAAAATTCTATGTTTATGTAAAGCAAATGGATTTGGGTGATTTAATTTTGTTTATTTTGGGGCATTGCTGCAAGGAAAACATGTTATTGTTTGGTTAATTTTAGGGGTTTTTTTGAGTTCATTGTGAAATTCGATTATATTCGATTGGATGTTATTGTTGTTGTTTATATTCATGTTATTGTGTGTACGGATTTTTTCCCGGAAAAAAGTACCCATAAAGTGCCTTCAATTTATAAATGTGGTTTCACACAATCACAGCACCTTCGATCTTCCTTACCATTGCCAGACTTGGCTTGGAGAATGAGATTCAATTATTATGGTGTTACCCTAATAATTTTGTTTGGATTGATTTGCTTGGATTCTGGTGTAATTTTGTTTGGTCACTGTTTCAATCTGAGTGATGTATATATCAAGAATTCTCTTTTATGATTTTCAGGTTATTCCCTCCAATTTGTTTGTATATATTCAGCGTTTGTCCAACTGCTCCATATTTTTTAAATATCCATGTTCTAGAGCATTGCATTGTATCAAGAATGAAACATGACCCTTGCTTTCCATGATTTTCCACGGTTTTTTTATAGGAGTTTTTATTAGAATAGTTGGTCTAAATTTTGTTGCTTGATGGAATGCATTTTGTCTATCACTGTCACATGCAGGTTTCTCCCATCTCTGATGGAGATACAGTTGATTTTGATCATTTTAGCTCTCCCAGGGACGAAGGTGCCCAAAGGTTCATTCCTAAGCTGCCACCTGCCTTTGGTTCATCTCCTAATCTTGAAGCGCTTGCACTTGAAGCAAACAAATTTCAAGTTCAAGATGGGGATAGTGTTGTTTCCCATGTACAGTACTCCCGGTAAATATTGCTGAAATTCACTGAATGCTTCATTTTGGTCCCAATTTTTGATATTTTCTGGACATCTTTGGTGGTTCTGTAAGAGTTCAAAGCATTTCACATGGATTTTTATGGAACAATTGCTACACTGATTTCATTAATTTGCATTATGTAGCTTATACTTTAATGTGCTTTTGACAATCATGCAGGCCCATGCATGAAATTACATTTTCAACAGATGACAAGCCGAAGCTCCTCAGTCAGGTAGTTTGCATGTTTGCTTATTTTAGTACAATATTAAAGAACAAAAAAGTAAACTCCTTTTGATAATATCATATAGTGCCTCCACCACACGATCACTGAGTAGTAGAATTCTGCAGTTGACTGCCTTACTAGGCGAGGTTGGGCTGAACATCCAGGAAGCACATGTTTTTTCTACTGTAGATGGGTACTCCTTGGATGTCTTTGTTGTTGATGGTTGGCCCTATGAGGTATTTTCTTTTCATATTTTTTTATCCAGTTATGTAGTAGAATGTTTATATTCTTATGGCAAACAGATCAAGCTACTTTGTGTTTACTATATTTTGGAGTTCTGTTTCTTTTTTTTTTCAGCTTATGTGTCATCAAGATCTTTGAACTCAGATCTTGATTTCTGGATTTTCACCCATGTTAGAATGCCGAATTGTTCATTCAATTTTTTGTCAGAGTTTTTGTGTTTTATATTGTCCTTTTCTGTACAATTGGTGTTAGTATATTGTTTTTGTGCTTTCCATGATTTTCTGTATATTGTTCATTCAATTTCAAGCTTATTTGATTTTTAAATTGTGCTCTTTATGCTACAAGCGAGTGATAGCTTTGACCAAACCTGTTTACTATATACAAAGTTTGCTTTGTATTATTATTACTATTTTTTTGGAGCTATGCGCTATATATACTTTTGTAGACCTTTTCCTGGGTCCGTTAATATATGATCTGTCATCAGTTTCTATCTTGATCATACAAAATTTTGGGGCTTCAGTGACAATTCCCAGCTGAACTTGCAATCTTCAAGGTGGATGTGAAGTATTGTTCATCAGGTTGATAGTTTCACAGTCTAAAACATATTGTATAACAGTTTATACCAGGGTTATTACTTGATGTTGCATGGCCTATGGAGGAAATTTTATTTGTGAGAGTGCAAATAGCCAGTCAGTTGTACAAGATGCGTGCCTACAACTATTGTCATCGGTATCTTTATCGTTTAGTCTATTGACATACTCCAAAAATGATGTTTATCTTGCCTATTAGCCAAATTATGTTGTGCATTTTCTAGATACCACTTTGGCTGCTCGGCTATTCACTTCGGTTGCTCGACATCCTGCTCGGCTGCTCGGTTAGTTTATTACTTTGGTTCTTATTTTTTTTTTGCTCAATGTTTTTTTTCTGCTCAGCTGCTCAGCTGCTCAATGCTTTGGTAATGTTTGGCTGCTCGACATCACTCTTTTTCCTCTCTCAGCTTTTGTTATTTCTTTTGTTATTGCTTTGCTTTGATATTGAGCCAACTGATATATACGGGTGAATTTTGTTCTTTTGTTATTGAGCCAACTGATCTGTTTTGTTAAAGAAAATAGTTGCTTTGTTAAAGAAAATAGTTGCTTTGTTAAAGAAAAAATAGTTGAGCCAACTGCTTTGTTTTTTTTATCTCATTTGTTGCTCTGTTAAAGAAATAACAAAAGAAAAAAACTGTTTGTCGTACTTGGGCTTTCAACGATGGCCAATGGCGAGCTCTTCAAATTTCACCCTCTGTCTATGATGAAAATGCTTTTAAGGTCATTCTTTTTCTCAATGACTGTAAATGTAGGCAATTAAGTAAGCATTTACTATGGAGTGAGTATATAAATTCCTCCTCCTTTTCTTTTCTTTTATTTTTTCTCAATGAATTACAGGCCTTGGATTTTGTAGTCAGTGAAGCATGGAAGTACAAGATCAGACTCATATTATCATTAACCAACAACTGGGATGCATATGGTGGCAAAGCACAATACATGAAATGGGGTAAAGCTGCTGGCTTGAATTTGACTTCAGATGATTTCTTCACTCATCCAACTCTCAAAACCTGCTACAGGGCCCATGTCAAGGCATGTTCCTTAATTACTACTTTTAGAATAAATCAAAATTTGCACATCAAGATTTCATAGAATGAGATACATATGGTGTTGTAAATTTAGCTGCATTTTAAATTATAACTACATTTTTATCTTAAAATTATTTACACCGTGCCTTTAGGCACGGGCATACGCTAGTAATATAAATAAGATACATCATTATGTTTTTTTTTTTAAATAAATTTTGTTTATATTTTCTTTATATTCCTACTTCACCCAAATTGTCATATTTTCTAGCCATCCTCTAAAGTCCTTCTCTGTCTTTCATTAGCTTGAGTTATGACATAAATTTTTTGCTTATCACAATGTGAATTCTTTGGTGGTCCTTTTTCTTATCCTGGTTTGGTGTGCCTTGAGAATAATTTAGAACATGCTTTCGGCATGGCAACTCTTGCATAGAAGTGAATTTGTTATTACTTAAAACTTCCATTTCACAAGATTTGAGGATTTCAAAGACAATAGATACAGTAGAGGTGGAGGACTTTGTGCATACCAACTTTCCTCTTTTTCTTCTTCACTACTTTCTACATTGTTGGCTTTTGTGTTTGAGTCTTCTTCACTCTCTACTATTGCATGTAGAAGAGGGAGGATAAAATGTCTTTTGCTTATGAGACCAAACCCTTGCAAACATCACACTTTTGTAAGTTTGCTTTTATGACAAAAGTAAGTTTGGTTCTAGTAAACCATATTTGCTCCTAAGGAACATTGTAGAACTTCACCCACAGTGGAAGAAGCATTTAAGCTTTGGTTGTTTACTATAATTCGTAACCTTTGATGAATTTTTTCATTCTTTTTTACCTTTCCTTGTTTACGTTGTACGTGTATAGTCCAAACAGTTAGTTATTTCACCCTAACTTTTGAATACAATCCCTAAGCCATGTGTTTCCAAATTTTAAGCTATGTTACAAACAAGTGAAAACTTAAACTTAGGTCCAAAAAGATGTACAAGAGTTGGATGATGATAAAAGATACGCAATTCCGTTTGTTTAGTATTTGTGTTTATTCGTTGTCCATTCCTACAATAATGTTTGTTTGATTTCTAAGGTTCAAAAGATGGACAAAAGTTGGATGATGATAAAAGATAGGTTGAAAAGTAAAGAGTGCCAACAAGGTGTTAAGTCATTTATTAACTTTGCTATGAAGGATTTAGGCCCACATGATGACATTCGTTGTCTATGTGTCGATTGCTTGAATGACACAAAACATAGTCGACAAGTTATATGGCTGCACTTGATTCGAAGAGGAATCGCGTGTTCTTATAGAACTTGGGTGCACCACGGGGAACATGTTCCATTGTGTCATGATCAGCCTAGCGTGTCAAACATTGATAGTGAAAGATATGGAGCTGTAATTTTCGACATTGACAATAACTTGGGTGAGTTGCCTACTATGTTAGAAGATATTTATATGAGTGGCCTCATGGATGATCATATTGATGAAGAACCTAATAGCTCAGAGAGAGAAAATTTGGTGAAGTTCATTAGGTTGTTTAATGATGCTCGACGAAAAGTGTAACTGGAGTGTGAAAAGTTTTCCACGTTATCCTTCATTATTAAGATGCTTCATATTAAGGTGTACAATAAATGGAGCAAAAAATCTTTCGATATGGTTATGCAAGTTTTCAAAGACATTCTCCCAAAGTGTGATGAAACTGTTCCATGGACCCTTTATGAAGCGAAAAAGTTCTTAAGTGAATTGGGTTTGGGATACGAGGCCATTCATGCATGCAAGAATGATTGTATTTTGTTTTAGAAGGACAATGCAAAACTGGAGAATTGCCCTACATGTAAGGAATCTAGATACAAGTTCAACAATCAGAGTGGTAAAAAGATTCCTCGCAAAATATTAAGGTATTTTCCTTTGACACCGAGGTTGAAGAGATTGTACATGTCGAAAAGAACCACCGGAGATATGAGATGGCACAAAGAGAAGCGTGTGAATGATGGAATGTTAAGGCATCCAGCCAATGGTCAGGCATGGAAGGACTTTGATATGTAGCAACCTACATTTTCTGACCCGGCATGTAAGGTTAGGGCTTGCCACGAATGGTTTAAATATGTTCGAAAATATGAGCACATCGTACAACATGTGGCCTGTACTATTAATGCCTTACAATCTTTCCCCATGGAAGTGTATGAAAGAGCCATTTCTGATGATGTCAATGCTTATTCCCAATCCATCCGCCCCTGGAAGAGACATCGATGTTTACTTGCAACCATTAGTGAAAGAGTTAACTAATCTGTGGGAGCATGGTGTGGAAACATATGATGCCTCTACCGGCCAAATATTTACAATGCATGCAGCAGTCATGTGGACCATCAATGACTTCCCCGCATATGGTACCATGTCTAGTTGGACTACAAAAGGTTACTTGGCGTGCCCTAATTACAACATGGATGCATCATCTCAGCGTCTACGAAGTAAGATAGGGTATATGGGTGCCCGCCGCCACTTGCCCGAGAACCATATTTGGCAAAGAAATAAGCTCTTCAATGGTCAGAATGAGCATCAATCCAAACTTGTGGAGTTATCAGGAGAACAAATACTGCAACAAATTGATTCGGGGACATACAGGCCGTATAACAAGCATCCAAACAACCGAAAAAGACAACTGAATGAAAATCCACCTTCCAATTGGACAAAAAGAAGCATTATGTTCGACCTACCCTATTGGAAAATGCTAAAGCTTTGACACAACCTTGATGTCATGCACATAGAGAAGAATATATGTGACAATCTGGTTGGGACACTACTAGCATTGATGGCAAGAACAAGAACATGGATAAAGCACTCTTGGATCTAGAAGACATACGGATACGAAAGGAGTTACACTTTAAGAGGCATTTCAATGGCTCATTTGAGAAGCCTCCAGCATTATACACATTGTCCCCGGTAGAGCGACAAGGTTTTTTTGATTTCTTGAAATTTATTAAGTACCCTGATGGCTATGCAGCAAATATATCCAACTGTGTCACCGCTCATGGTGGAAAATTAGTTGGCCTCAAAACTCATGACTGTCATGTCCTTCTACAACGACTACTTCCAATTGGGATGCGTGGATACATTTCCAAGGAGATTGGGACCACACTTTTTGAGTTGGGAAATTTTTTCAAGCAGTTGTGCTCAAAGACATTGAGGGTGATTGATTTGGAGAAAATGGAGGAACAAATCGTACTTATACTTTGTAAGCTTGAGAAGATTTTTTCTCCTGCGTTTTTTGATGTCATGGTCCACTTGGCAATTCATTTGCCTCACGAGGCTATGCTTGGAGGGCCTGTGTAATATCGATGGATGTATCCCATTGAGAGGTAAGACCACGAGTTCCTGAACATCCCTATTTACATGTAGTAGATAATGTAAACATTAACATTCAAATCATATTGCCATGTAGGATGCTTAGACTTCTGAAAGGATTTGTTCGCAATAAAGCTCAGCCAAAAGGTTCCATTGCGAAGGCTTACATTTCAAAAAAGTGTATGATGTTTTGTTTAATGTATTTAGACGGCGTTGAAATGGTGTTTAATCAGGAAGAAAGGAACTATGACGGGGTGACAATGGCTCGGGGTTGGCAGTTTTCACTCAAAATGTTCGTCTGTTTGGTCTACTAACAAGGGAAACTGATGTGTCTGTAGCCGACCGTGAAAGGGCTCATTGGTTTGTCCTACACAACAGCTTAGAAGTGGAAGAATATCTAGAGTACGAGTCAAACCTGTGATGTACTATATGTGACCCATATGATTTTTTTAGTAATCATTTTTAAATTACTTATGAATTACATTGTCCTACTATAGACCTGACTTTCTTCGCGCGCCCTCCTTTCGGAGAGGCGCAAATTGGTCGTCCTATAGTTCAGACTCCTATCATGATTCTGAATCTAATCTCACAAAGTGCAATGTAAGACTGATAAATCACGAAAGAGTTCAAATCTGGCAATTGGTTTTGGAAAATCAATTTTGAATCAAAAGCGCCAAACATGGATTGCTTTTCCAGATTACAGAGTCGCCACCTAAATATTTTGTTTTTGGGAAATTTAAGAAACCCCGACTCGTGCCAAAGGCCACGTGTCTGTCATTACCAAAGTTGCCTCGACTCGGGAACTTGGGTACGAGAGGGGAAGGTCCTAAAATGAGCACCCCCGCTCGGCAGATCAAAGGATCGGCCTCTACTAAGCATGATATGTTGTTTTATAAACACATGTGTTCTTATTCCGGTTATTAATCTAACTTACTATGTGATGCGCACAGCATACAAGTATAGACTAAGTCGCTAGAATTGGAACAAAACAACTCATGTTTGTTTTCGAAAAATGGTTTGAAAATGCCACCCTCACTGTGGGCTAAAGCGCGGATTTACCATCTCACAAGATGGGCTTTAAAACATGATTTTGCCACTTCGCAAAGTGGGCTTAAAACTCACATTTGATGAATTGTTCCAATTCAAGCAACAAATCCTTCATCCACAGGCATTCATGCAGTTTATCAAGTAAGTACATAGCCTCATGGCAAGCATGCGAAACATGGCAACACTTACACTCATGCAAGGATGCTAAAGCGTAAAACTTACAGTGTACTCCAAGCCAAAACAGAAGCTAGTTAGAAATATGCATGATCCTAACTACGCTAATGGCTAATGCAACACATGCAAAGAATGTAACTAATTAGGCTCGGCTATCTAAGATGGCATATGAATGCAACACTTGATAACATGCTTTGAAACACGTATTCAAGTAAGTGTATTGAAATACAATGTAGTTTGAATGATGCGTCGAGCCTAGTGCATGCAAGACAAATGAATGATGCACGTATGCAAAGCATAAGGTATGCTAATCAAAACATGCCCTAATCTAGCCATCGTAAGCCGTTAAATAAAAGGGAGAAAGAAGTGGGGTTGGAAGACATGCACACACACACACACACTTATTACAATATTGCGCCCTCACGAAGGAGGGTCTGAATGAATAAGCTAAGCTAACTAATCTAATTAAACTAATTAGGCTAATTATTACAAAACAATCAAATAATTAGTAAACTACTTACTAATTGTTACAACATAACAAAGAAATAGCTAAATTAAGCTACTTAATTATTACAACACTTTAATCAATTAGCAACCTAGTTAATTAAAACAATCAACTAATCATGCA